TTTGTTATAACTATGTCAGTAAAATCTATTTTACATTTCAACAAATATTTTCAGCGAAACTTTCAAAATGTCAACATTCAGATAATAATTTTGATAAAATAATTACTATCATTTATTTTTTCCCCACCTCCTATTACTATATTGTAATTACTATAATTGATCATCACTTATTGTAATTATTAATTATCACCAATATTGTAATTATTGATTATCACTAATTATCATCATTATTGTCATTACTATTATCATTAATGAGCATTATGAGATGAATTTTATAAAAATTATTTTTACTATTTTTACTATTCCTTCTCTTGTCGTTCATTATCATTGATGGAAAGAATGTTAAAGCTGTAGATATCGTGATAATCAATCTGATAAAAGATTGTGCAAGTATTCTTGAGCTATTATAAAAGTGATAATTAAATGATCGTCTCTTTTTGATGTTCTTTCGTCATTTTCCATTTATTCCTTCTTTTTCAAATTTCTTTCTTCTTCTTTCTTATCTTTCTTCCTCCTCATTTCTTCTTTTTTTTCCCTCTCTTAAAATTGACCTTCCCGAAAAGAATTGAATTTTTCCAAAAGGATTACTGGTTTTTTTTTTCTGTTCATCAAAATTTCAATTTGTCAAAAAAAGAGGAAATGTATTGGGAATGAATAAGGTAAATTTTAACTTACAAATCTTTTGCTATAGAAATAATTGTCATCAAATGTTGCAAGAATTATCGTTTAATTTCTATTATTATACTTCTTTTTTATTCAAAAAATTTTTTTACTTAAAAATTTGACATTTTTTGTCAATTATAATATTCATCATTCAGTAAATTAATTAATTCATAATTCAATTTAGAAAAAAAGAGAGAAAAAAATGTTTAACAGGAGAGGAAGTAAAAAAAAAAAAAGCGAAGATAGAAATCACAAAAAACAGTGCAGATTTAGTATGCATGAATGGATTTTACTTGATTTAGATAATTATTGAATTTTTAAAAGTTAAATTAGAAATTTTTTAAAAATTCAGAAATAAAAAATTTTCGAAATAGGGAGGATTATCCATATTCACATATATGTGTGTATTTGTGAATCATTCTTTCTATTCAGCGCATAATCGTTAATTTTTAATATATTCTAAAAATCCATTTTTCTTTTTCTCTTTGAATTTTCATGAAGTTCTTCTCTTTTTCTTTATTAATTTTTTAACATTTAAGCACTCAACTGCAAAATTTAATCATAAATTCATATAAATTAAAAAAAAAAGGAATGAATTGGGATAATTTCGTATTCTTTTCAGAAGAAAAAATTTAAGCAAGCATAAAATTTAAAATTTCATACCATCAATGAAAACTTGTTCATTTCAGTGTTCCTTCTTCTTCCTCTTCTTCTCATCATTTCTTTCCTCAGCACATAGCAGTTTAGCTATAAATTAAGAATGATTTAAAATGCTAAATGTTACTGTATGATGTTAATCGTAGAACATTTGTGCTTAATGTATGATGTTAGCTATATATTAAGCGTAAATATTTTACAATTTCTTTTTCATATTTACATAATTTATCCTATCAAATAGCTGATTATTTTAGCTCAAAATATAAATCAATTTTTCTCAAATGGTATAAAATTTTCGCTATAAATATATTTTAATTGTTCATTTTAATAATCCAAATTAGATTATATAATGTTACAGTATGAGGCTAATTGTGCATTAAGCACCGAATATACCATAAATTCATTTTCATATTTGCATAATTTATTGGCATCAAGTGATGCGAACATTTTGTAAACAAATGTCGCAAAGTATAAATTGATTTTTTCTAAATCCTGTAAAAAGTTTTATGAGATTGAAAATTATAAATTAGATCATACCATAATTATTGCCTATTGCTGGAAATACATTTGAAATTGCTTGAAATGCAGTAGAAACGATTAAATATGGATGTTCAACTTGTTGATTGATTATCAAATTGTTAGTTTCCATTATTATCGTTTTGCAACAATTTTTTTTTTTTTTNTTTTGAGGGTCAAAATGTATTGGTCAATGGTGTCACAACAATTGATAATAATTGTTGTTGTTGCGATGAGCCATATTACAAATACATTTGCTTGTTTCAGCAGTAAGATTTTTTTTTTCATTTTATTTTATGAAATGAAATAAAATGAAAATCAATTTTATCAAAATTAATGATAATCAAAGTAGATTAATCAAAAATAAAATATATTATATTGTTACACATAACATAATATGTAACATATGTAAATTATTATTTCGATTACATAAGAAATGATAATTGAAGTAATGATTTAAAAAAAATGAAAGTAAATTTAGAAAAAAAAATAAACGAATAAATCAAATATTAATGCTAGTAAAGAATTTAATTAATTTAACGGCTATTCAGCTATTTAGCTGGTTTTTGTCCATGTCAAACAACAGTTGATGCTTGTTCATGTACACAACATGGAACATTACAACCGAAAAGTTATAGTGCACTATTTGTATCGCATAAATCATCAAGTAAATTATTAAATTATTATATTATTAATTAATTCCAATGAAACGATTTGTCAACTAACATTTAAAAAACAAACACTTAGAATATATTTACTTAATAGAATGCATATTCTTTATTAGCAAATATTCTTTTGCATGATTGTAAATAATAAGTAATCGGTTGTAAAATGATTTTAAGATAAAAATTGATTGAACAAAAGAATGAAATTAATTTTATGATGTGTATTTTTGATTTTCAAAAAAACTAAACAATTTCAGGTTCTCATCCTTCACCATCTTATTCTGCACCACGTTCATCATATTTGCCGTATCAACCAGTACCAATTTCAAGGCTTCCACACCCTCAGACGTATAATTCTCCCTATACCTCCTATAAAACATCACAGTCATTACCTAAGCAATCTGTGGTACCATCACCATCATCATATAATATCCAACGATCGACCAGTAATATCATGGGCCCATCTAAGAATTATAATCCGCCTTATCATATTTATGGAATTCATTCACAAAAAATGCCATCAAATACGGTAACAAAGGTATCACAAATTTATGGACCAAAAAGGCCTTCAAATGAACTTAATGAAAATTTGCAGCAAATAGAAGTGGCACCATCTATTATTAGCAGGTTGATTATTCTATTTGTCCTCCTTTCTTTTCGTATCTAAAAAAAAAAAAATTCGTGAATTAATTTTATTTTAAAATTATAGGGATGACAATAATATATTTCTAAATTAAAATTATTACCTTAAAAATTTCAATCATTTAAAATTTGACAATACGTC